TTTAGTATATGTGCTTGTTAGAAGGTGGAGGAGGGACAATAAAGTATTCCTCAAACTAAGAAAGTATTTTGAGGCCAAAAAACAAAGCAGGGAACTCTAGTTTATGTAGTTTTATTCAGGGTAACTTACTGAACGGGGGAGGGAAATGGGCAGAGGACAATTCATGGCAGCTGCAGGGTTATTCTCCACAAAATCCAGACCTTTGTCTATAGATTTTATACAGTGAGGGGATGCACAGAAGGGCACTATCGTGAGATCAAAGAATCCCCACGAACCTCCAAAGGGCTGGCATGCACCTAATTAACAGCTAATCATTAATTAGATCTTGTGGCACCACCTGTGTGCATCAGGAAGGGTAAAAACTATGTATAGGTTTATGGAAGGCTAAAACAAGCCTCCCGGATCCTGGCCTTGGGAGGTTCTAAGGTTATGTGTATTAATCTCCAGGGGGACTGGAACACAAAGCCCCACAAGAGAAGTAACTGAGCAAACATGAACAAGATGGAGGACCAAAGATAGGAGTCAGTACTGTCCCCACTCCTACAGTGCTGCCAAAAACAGCATGAGTCTGCAGGAGTTTTTAAGGATTGAGACCGAAGAGTTTGAGAACTGCTAGCATGGTAGGTCTATATATTGGGAAGCCCAGGTTCTAATTTCAGCTCTTCTCCTCCTAGCTACACAACACTCCTTCCTCTATCAGGTTAGGACCTGATGATATCGAAAGTCTATTAGTTTTATTCTCCTTACCTTGAAGTTGTAGATTTCATTGTAACAATCAGCACTTTTCAGATACCAGGTTATATTCAAAGATACATCACAAGGCTCTCCATCAACTATAGAAGAAGAAAACTTTGTGAATAAAGATGATTGCCAAAGTATTTTTCCTAAAATTCTATCTTTCCTGCTAAATTTAGATACTCAAGGACCATCTTTTCTCCAAACACAAGGTAATAAAGTAATATACGTAAAAAGAACTGGATATTCTTCAGATAAAAGTACTGTTGTTCACAGAAGATGTTTTTGACCGGCTTAAGTGTATCTACTTTTATGCCTTTAAAACCTCAATTTCTGGTTCTCTGTTGGGAAAAAACTGGAAGTGATAGAGCAGTCCCAAGTTAAAACCAGTCTTCTATTATCATTCAAATATTTACTCAACAGGGCACTTACGTATATGAAGCTACATGCCACTGTGTTAGGCCGTAGGAGAACAGGATCTTAAAAAAGTTACATTCTATTTGGAGAAACAAGGAATAACATTAGGGACATCACAAGGCAGTAGTCAAAATAGTTCCACTGAGAGAAAAATTAATAGCTTAGACCTTGAAAGATACCAAACTAGACAGAAAGAACTAAGGAAAAAGAAAAAAAAAAATCACCTGGTTGGGGAAGGTAGGAAGAGCAAAAGAAAAAAAGGGAAGACTCTTTAATAGAGTGTTAGCCCACCTTAAAAGAGGCCTCAAGGAACCTCACAAAATTCAGAGTGGCCTTGATCTCATTAAACATACTTTGGAACCCAATATTTAGAGGACCAAGACATTAGCCTGAAAATCTGAGAGCATAAATCTGACTATATCACTGATCATCTGTCCCACCTGGAAGTCAGTTTATCTTTGATTCCAGAAACGTTATAGAAAATATACTAGAAGATACCTGCTTCAAGCAAATATCACAAAGGTAATTATGACTGCATCTAGGAATCTATTTTTGGTTCTTAACAAAAAGTGCACACCTAAAATTATAACCTTTCCTTTTTCTTTGTTTTAAATTGTTTTCTCAAATTAATTTTTAAGTGACATACTTTTACAAGGTTCAATCAAAATACACAGAACTCTGATGTGCTAAATAGAATTTCCGAAAATTATATAAAGGGTATTTGCAATCTCACTGTAAACTACTCAGAGGAACCATACAAAGATGGAATTAACTAAATAGAAGCCAATAAGAAAATCCCCTAAACAGAAGATCTGCAGGAAAACTTGGCTGCAAAAATATTACTATTTATGTTAAAAAGACACCATCCAGAACTTTGAATGGATGGCATTAAGAGGCAAAAATGGTCCTGGCAATTTCACAGAAAGCTATATACTATAACCCTGAAAGTATAAAATCAGAGACAAAGTAAATGTGAGAAAGCAGAGAAGTAACAAAATGAAAGAACATTTTTTAGGAGCTTCAAATTCTCCAAAAAAATGAAATGTAGACACTGCAAAATATGGAGCTTGTGTGAGTTGGAAAAGCACCATTTGATCAAAATAGATGAGAAAAGACTATACACGATAGAAAGGTAGAATAGCATGCAGGCTGTCAGGCCATTCCAAAAGCCCAAATACTGCTATCCCTGTAAATTATTCTAATCCAGCATACCAACCTCACAAGACAGAGCAAATTATTCTGAGTAATATGATTTAAATCAAATTTAAGTCATTAGTCAAGTGACTGAATTTTCATAGATATAGTCTATTCTTCATAGAAATTTTACTGACTCCCCTTCACTGCTGCTAGACTGTAAGCTCAGTAAGAGAGACAGCCTTTTCTATCACTTCCCTGCTGTCTAAAACATTGCCTGGCACATAGCAGGTTTTTAATAACTACTTACTAAATGATTAAAACAATAAAATCATCCAACTACAACTTATAACTTTGCAGCACTTTCATGGAAAAAGATGTTCATAGAAGCACACACGGATGATCTGAACTTTTATCCCTGATCCTGAAACAGAGCTATCCATGACCATTTGTTCCCTAAAATAAAGCCAGTTTCAAAAATAAAAGGAAGTCTTTCTTTAATATGTAACTGGATATTTTGGATTCAGATACAGTGGTTTTCTCACTGGACAGACTGGTTTTGTTCTAATAATCCCTTTTCCCTGATAATATCTTTGAGCTTCCTCTTCCAAAGATCAAATAGTAAAATACTCCTGTAAACAAAGGTTTAACTGAACATATTCATTCAGAGCCAAAGGCCTGACAAAACTAACTTTTGTGTTCGGTAAACATCTAACAAGCACACAAAAGCAGAATCAGTGGTATCTCTCTGACACAGGACAGATTAAAACACCATGAAGACAAATCAAACAATTTGTCTAACTGTATACAGTAAACACCAGAAAAACAAGAGAAGAAAATAAAGTTCACACAAGTATTCTTAAGATTACTCAGTTAAAAAACCCTTAATTACACTACTTATATTTATTTTGATAGTGCCGGACTATTAAATTTCAAAGCTTATGTCTAGAGTAGATCAGAGATAGAAAATAGGTCATGTGGAAGTTTAAAGATCACTCAAAAACTCAAATAAAAATTTCATGAAATGCAAAAACTCACATTTCAGGAAGACAGTGGTATTTTTGAACAGGATCTTTCCAAAACTGAAATAATTTTTCCCCTGTGAAGATAAAGGAGAGAAAGATAATTAGCATCAGATCACTTTTAATTCCCAAGGCAGAATATAAAAAATTGTTATAAAAACCTAAACTTATAAAATGTTTATATTAGTTTTCTTAACAAAAAAATACATCAATAGCCTTTCTTTTAGTAAAATTCAACCATATCCAAATGCAGAATTTTATAGCTTGGTGCAGAGACACAATTTTACCCCCACAGGCCATGAAGCAAGGACTCTAGAAAAAAAAAGTGCCAGAAATCCCAACTTAAATCTTCATAGAGGGTACTCCTTCGTCAGTTTATTCCCTTTACTCACTAACCACTCTTCAGAATAACCAATCATTTCTTCAAATAAGCTATTCTATGAACAGATAGATTTAACTATTAACCATTTTAGCAACAGCACCTAAAATTCAGAACCTGAAGATCTTCACCAAATGAAAAAAAGCTATAATGCTTGCCACATTAAAGCTTAAATAAGATTTGGACATTACAACCAGCGAGCAGAGCAGAATGGAAACAAAAAGGCCACAGTGGTTTCAATAGGACAAAATGCTTTGTGGCATTTCCTGCGTGCGTCTGATTTGCTGGCTCACAGAACCATACAGCTCTTACTCAAATAAGGTTTAAACGAGGGGGTGGAGGGATAGAAAGGGTCAACCCACCTGGTCAATCGTCCAGCAGAAAGACTATCTTTTTACCTATCAAGTTTTAGAATACGATTTCTTCCATCTCAGCCATTCTCACGTTAGAATACATTTTTAAATGCCGAGGCTTCTTAATCACACAGCAAAGCTTAGAACAACCATTCCAGAGTTCAAAAGAAATCAAACAACTTCGTAAGGAGAATCATCCAGTAACAACAACAACAACAAAAGTGCAGAGGGGGGAAAAAAAGAAAGAAAAATACCTATTTACAGATCTCTCTCACCCAACTCGGGGTCACTGAATTCTGTGAAACTTCGGCTGAAAGGGAAAACCGTTCTCCACCTATCCTTTACCCGTCTTAAGTTAAGGCATTCAAAGTTCTGACTTGGCTGATAAGAAACCGCTCCACTATTCCTCACCGCTCCTGAAGCGGCCCTGGCATTTCCGCTAACCTACCCACTGAAGTGCACGGCTTTCCGCTCCAAGGAGGCGGATCCCTGCTAACCAGCGACACAGACGCTCCAGGCAATTCCACCCCTTTGGAAGCGGGCTTTTGCGGAGCCTTCATGGACCCCTAGGGCCACCGTAGCCCCACCCCTTGCTCCTCCAGGCTCAGTTGCTTCTGAAGTGAACACTCACCGACGGCATGGGGATGTGCCACTTGGATCGGTCGGCAGCGGCGACAGATGCCGGTCCTAAACCGAGAAGCGACAGTGGGGACGGCTGAGCCCCCAAAAGAAGAAGAATGACAGGCAGCACCTGAAGCCACGCAGCCGCCGCCATCTTCACAGCCGTGGAGCGCCTACCGAAAGCATTTCACCTTCTTCCGGTTTGCCCCGCCCTCTTCCGGCTCTGCTTTGGGGGCGGGATCATCCGGGTCCTCGAAACCTCGCGGGGCTTGTTTGTTTTGCGACCCAGCAGCCCCTCCCTAAGCCAGCCGTCACCACCTCGTGTGAGTTTCAGACCCTACGGCGCTAGCGTCCTATCGTGGTAACCCGGTCACCTTGGAGCGTTAGGATGTTCACCGACAGCCACCTGCGCTTCGGTCGGCTCTGCCGTCGCCCGGCCCTTAAAGGGTCAGGGGACCAAGCACGCTCCCAGTGTAGCGTTTGGCTCTCTCCTCTCGTTCGCCCCAGCCTCTCATCCCTTCTAAGTCAAAGTCAAACGCTGGGGCCAGAAGTCTGGGGAAGCCGTAAGTCCCCCTGTTTGGCGTGCAGTCGTGAGTTTCGGTTTCTGGAGGTATTTAATCAAAGATTGGAATCTGGCAGGGGTAGAGTATAAGCACTTACTAAACGGTATCTGCTGTGGTAGATATGCCCTTTTATAAAGACCGTTCTGGCCCTGAAAAGTAGTATGTTGCAGAATTTGGCCGGAGAACATCAACCTTCAGCACAGAGCCGAGCGGCGCTTTCTATTTAAGACTAAAAAGGGAAAGAATGGGTCAGGTTTCTATATCAGTAACGTGACGGTCACTGGGAGAAACCTGCAGAAGTTTGGCCTGGATCAGGCAAGGGAAGCGGTGTGGGTACTTCCTGGTTCTCACGCTCTTGACTTTGATCCTCTGGGGCTGTTGGAGTACACGCGCCCTCCACCGCGCCGAGACAGCTTTCGGTTCCTCAGGAAAGCAGTTCCTTGTCGGGCACTAGTAGTCAAGAAAATTTGGCCAAATAAATCCCCGAAGAAACGCTAATTTGGGCCTGGAAAACCCGGGAATAAGTATAGATTTGTTACTCCTTAAGGGACTTGACAGTGGTGAAGTGCTGGTTGTAATTGAGCAAGACGGCCCTTGGCCTTGGCCTGAGAGCTGAAAGCCAATCAGATTGACGAGGAAGCCATGGAAGCTGCTGAGAAAAAGGAAATCAGGTAAAGGCCCAGTGGTCCTCTGCAAGGACTGAATCCAGACAGCAGGGGATAGAGAGTTGCTTTCAAAACCTGAAAGCACTATTCTGGTTTTGAAGGTTTTACTGATTGTATGACCTCTTATTTGCATGTTTGATACTCGTGTACTTTAAAATTTTTTTCTCAGTTCCCCAGGGAATTAGTCGATTATCAATTAGCCCCTCATAAAATCCTTACTTTCAAAACAGTGGAAGAGTTGTGATCAGAACTATAACACGTGAATTTCAAGCATGTAGCCTTCCATGTTCAGCTATAGCCCCATCTTCCTATGTTATTACAGAGCTCATTCTTCAAAGCTGGGAAGCAAAGACTGCAAATTTCTTTAATTGTTGCACACTTGATTAAAAGAAACAGTGACAAAGACTGCATCAGGGAAGGATTTGATGACTTCCAAGAAAATAATTTTTAAGTACAGCCAAGTGTATCTGTGTGGGCTTGTTTTCCTAATATCTTGAAATGTGTGTTCATAGTTTCCTACATAATCATAGACTTGCTGACTACAGCTGTATTCAGCAACACGGCTGCCTGAAGACCAGTGTGTTTCCTTCCCTCCTCCTTACAGCCTATAGTTGTTCTAATCATATGGAGGCTAATGTGTTTTTTTAAAAGATTTTATTTTTAAGTAATCTCTATACCCAAAATGGGGCTCCAACTCAGAACCCCAAGATCAAGATGCTCCACGGACCAACTAATCCAGCCAGATGCTACTTGAGGCTAATTTAAATACATATTTTTAGCAATATACATGCATCGTATTCACGTTCTATTCCAGAAACAAATGTTCTGGGAATTTGGTTTTAAAAAACATTGGTTCCAAATTTTCAGCAGCATCTTAAAAAGCAAAAGATTTTGCTTCTACATCTGTTTCTATTATTCTAGCGCCCTTGCACATACCTCTGGGCAAGCAGAGCACACAGCATTTGTCAGGTTGATTTGTGCTTGTTGGTTAGGCTCTTGTAGGAAGCTCAGACACAGTCCTTCGTATCTTCCTCAGACCCCAGTACTCAGTAAGGATATTCTGAAAATATTTTATTGAATAAATAAGTGGATTGTTTTTGTTTGGTTTGAGTTTTTTGTGTGTTTCTGCTTCTGATTTTACTGTCGTAGTTGTAGCCTTCAGTCATTATTTTATTTTTAATTGTTTTTTAAAAGATTTTATTTATTTATTCATGACAGACAGAGAGAGAGGCAGAGGGAGAAGCAGGCTCCATGCAGGGAGCCCGATGTGGGACTCGATCAGGACTCCAGGATCACACCCTGGGCAGAAGGCAGATACTCAACCGCTGAGCCATCCAGGCATCCCTTCAATTATTTTAAAAGAACCCTTCCTTATGAGTAACAATACTCTTTTTCCAGTGCTTTCAGAGTAATCCTAGAATTTGATGTTTTGTTGTATACCTTGGTGATTTACAAAAGGATGTTTTTCTGCACCACACATGCTATTGTGTCATGTTATGGCCATGACACAATTTTGCATTGCAGAAGTTTTTGACCTGCATTCAGAGAAGGAACAAAAAATGGACTCACAAACCTTGTAGAAAATAAGTGTCTTAAAATGTCTTTTATTTAGTGTTGAAGATGAAGCTGTGGATAAAAACATTTTCAAAGACTGCAGCAAGATTGCTTTCTACAGGTAAGGAGAGGAAATGTACTACCTGGATCAAAACATTTCAATATTGCAATATTTACAGGCTTTCTAAGGAAAGGGTCAACTAGGAAATGTAATCATTAAGAAATTTATCAGACAGGAGACATTTACCTTTATACACTTACTATTGTCTTATTTAAATTTCTCAATAAATATATATTTTATTTTAAAAGTGTTTATATCTTTGAATAGGTAATACCTTTACATGTTTCAAAAGTCAAATAATGTAAAAAGATTTACTTTGGAAAGTGTTACTCCCATGCCTATCCTTTACCACCCTGTTCCACATCTTGTCCCTCTAAGTAACCAGATTTATTAATTTCTTATTTGTTCTCCCAGTATTTCTTTTTGTAATGCAGATATTCTTACATCACTGCCCTTGTTATACCAAGTAGTTTCCTATATACATGGTTGTATACTTTTTTTCCTGCTTCATAGTTTATTCTGAAGAGCTCTGCATGAGTATATAGAGATTGTACTCTCTTTTTAGAGCTGTGTAGTATTCCATTGGGAGGATGTACTATAATATATTCATTCTCCTTCCTGTTGCTAGATCCTCAAGTTTTTAATCTTGTAGCTGTAGTATCATGTCTGATATATATATATTATTTCTTACACATGCAGGTGTATTCATAGGATGCATTTCCAGAAATGGTATTGCTGCATCAAAGAATAAGTACATTTAAAGTTTTATATATTACCAGATACCCCTCCATAGGGATTGTACCATTTTGTACTCCCATCACCACGCTATAAGATTACCTGTTTCTCCAGAGCCTCAAAAAATATTTCTTTAAAATCTTTTTGTTGAGTGTCTGTCTTTGTGTGATCTCGATCCCGGGACTCCAGGATCGCGCCCTGGGCCAAAGGCAGGCGCCAAACCACTGAGCCACGCAGGGATCCCCAAGATCACTTAAGTTCTGAATATGTACCTTAGAGAGAATTCAATAGGGAACGCTTGATCATTTTGTTAAATCACTGGATTGTATTCGATTTCTATTAGAATTTATTAAGTTTCTATTAAAGTGTACATTTCATGGAAAGAGAAAGGAAAATTAACAAGCTAATAAATACCATCCATGAAACCTGCCCCAGCTTCTCAATAAAGAGGACAAATGGCATCCTTGAGCAGTGCTATGTTGAATAGTTTTATTAGTATTATTCTTATTAGTACTAATTTTATTAGCACTCTAATAATAAGGTACTGCTGTTAGTACTTTATTGGAGTACTAATACTATCTGGGCTGAGTTCATTTACAATCATAGTGAATTTTAATGACTTCCACGTGATAATATAGTCTGTTAGATACTGACAGTCACAAATTCTCAATTATTTGTATACTCTGTATTTGTATTCTCTATATTTGCAGGCGTCAGAAACATCAGCTCTCCAGGAGATCCACCTATCAGGCATTACTAGACTCAGTCACAACTGGCAAAGACAGCACCAAGTTCCACATCATCAATGAAACAACCAAGGTGAGACAGAAGTATTTTCTACAGAGAATTATTTTTTTATATTAAATTGGGCTTGAATGAAGTAAATTTCCACAAAGGCTAGTTAAAACTATGTATGCTTCAAAAATAAACTTTGTTAGAGAAGTAATGTCATCTTTTTCATATCTACATATTTTTTTAAAAGATTTTATTTATTTATTCAGGAGAGTCACAGAGAGATAGGCAGAGGGGCAGAGGGAGAAGCAGGCTCCATGCAGGGAGCCTGATGCGGGACTCGATCCCAGGACCCTGGGATCACGCCCTGAGCCAAAGGCAGACGCTGTAACCACTGAGCCACTCAGGTGTCCCCATATCTACATATTTTAAAAGTAATGTGAATACTGACTACAAATTGCCTGTGTATCACTTTCCTAGATGTTTTACAAATGTTATTTCCTTTTAACTAGTCCTCATAATACAGAAAAGCAACTAGAAAGTCACTTGTTCAAAGTTATGCAGCTAGTAGAGTTTTCACCTGCATCTATCAAGCACCCATGTTTTGTTACTATTACACAGTGTACAGTTGAGCATGCAGCCTGAGCAAGGTACAGATTCAGTGATGTCAAATTTCAAAATGTGGGTGGGCCAAGGGAGCAAGGGACTGTATAGTTGAAAACCTAAGTTATAAATGTTCTGTCTCCTGAGCTGCTTCACTATCAGATCACTCTAGTTATTACATACTATAGGGATTAGAACAGTATGTTAAGTACTTTTTCTCACTTGTCAAGTCCCCATGCTACTTTAGATGGGCCAGTCGCAGAGGAGGAAGTGCTGTATGGGTTGAGCCAAGAAGTTGACTGTGCACAAGTACTGATGCTCCTAGCCTGACCCTCACTTCTAGATCCTTCCTGTCTTCTTAGAAGCTTCGGATGCTTCTAAAGCTTCTCAAACCAATCTGGCTTAATTGGTAGTTCATGTAACTAAAAGACATACTTACAGCCATGCAGTCTAGGTTTCCTAACAGGTGACTGAGAAGAAATCCCCTCTCACTGCAAAGCTATGAGAGATCTCCCTTTGGTGACCATAACTTTCACCCTGTGGTGCTGCACTGAGGAACCTCTTTAGAGAAGACAATAAAAACTGCTCCACATCAGGGGGTTTTCTATAACATTTGTAAGACCTTTAATTTAGCAAAGAATTCTAACTTTATTCCCAGACTGGAGGATCAACTGCACACTGAGGAAGTCTGCCTTCCTTACAAAGTTTTAGAAAATTTAGCTGTTTCATAGATGTGGAATTTTCTAACACACTTTTCTGGCCTGATTTCAAAGTAAGGGCTAAAATCCTATCAACAGTTCTATGTTCTCTATTCCTATCACCTGTCCCCAACTTCAGGTTACTTATGGGTGTACTATGGTAGCAGTATACTTAGTTCATGCCTCTTAACTACACAGATGGGATAGTTAACCTTTCTGTGAAACCTGGTCTTGCTTTTGTACCACTTATTTTTCCCTGAAGGAATTTGCTCCCTTGCTTGGCATTTTTGATACCTTTGAGTTCTCAGCTCATGGTACCCCCACACACAAAGTCATAGGTCCTCTACAACTGGATCCAGGAGGATACTAATCATTTTTTTTTGGATAGGTTGAGAGCTATTCATGGGAAAACATGGAGTATCACTAATTTCCTTCCTGGAAATCCACCTGCCATTCGCACATGGCCTGACACCCAGCCAATCCTCTATATTCAGGGTCAGGAGAAACAATTGGCTCCAGGAAATGCAAGGAGTCCACTAGAAACCTTCCTGGAGTCATGGTCATTAAGCCTGCCACCAGAATGTCAGGCACCTTCCTTTCTTTATTGTTTTTTCTATTTTTTCTTTCGTGTGTATGTGTATGTGTTTTTGCTCATTTTCCTTCCTGTCTCCAATGTGTCTAAACCCAGAGAGTTGTAGCTATCCCATAGTCGGGGCAAGAATCACTTTCCATCCTTGAGGAGCCTCAGTATATTGTCATGAAGACTCATGGTGAAGTAAAGTAAATGAGGCAAAAGCACTCTGTGGGTCAGAATGCAAATGTCTATTCATCTTGATACCAGTGCAGTTAGTGTGGATCCCCACACACTACCTTTTACAAAACTGTAGATCAATTCTCTAAGCACATCCTCTTTGGAGCTTGAAAACATGAGAGACATGCTGTTCAGGTCAGGTGCCAGAACTAGAGCCCACTAGATCTAGATGCTTTCCAAAGAAAAGAAGCTACAGTCCAGGAGGACCCACAGGATCTCAGCACAAGACAGCACATGGCTCAGAAGGGAGCTGAGAAGCTCAACAAGCAAGGGCAGGTTATCCAAGATGTCAACAACATGGCCCCCAGGACAGAGAACTTTGAGGGCCCCATGGAACAGACTTCATGTTAAGGTATTAGAAATATTGGGGCTGCATAGAGAATCTGCAGGCTCTGCTCTCAGGCAAATGTATAGTATCAGGGGTTACCCTGAATTTCTGGCTGAATTCCAATTTAATGTTTTCTTTGTCACTTGGAGTTGAGATGACTAAGAGGGATTTAGGATTTCATGTCCTTTGTCAGTCTGAGAGGGACAATGAAGATCCAGACAGTAATCTCTAAAATTGTCTGAACCTTGGATCCAGCTCATTGTATAGTCAAGCAGCCTCCATTTAAAGGTTGTTTCTGGAACGAAATTGGTGTTTCATGGGAGATTTCACTTAGGGTACAGTAGAGATGTGGTCTGGGGGTTTAAAACAAGCTGCACATATCTACTTACTCAGAATGATAGCTTTTTACTTCAGGTTCAGAGAGATAGAGCCCAAAGTCTAAGAGGATCATATTCATCTCACAGCTGCAGTTCTCAGATTTCACTGATCCAGCAGATTCTGACAAACCCAGCATTCTTAGTGCCTGCCCCCACATCATTAAAACTCTTAAAGCAGTAACTCTGTTGTCAAGATCTGTTAATTTTTAAAATCCTTCTTCCCAATATAAGCAACCAAGAAACAGAAACAAGCTTCATTCAACACTGTCTTAGCTTGGGCTCCCATAACAAATACCATATACTGGGTATCTTAAACAACAGATATTTATTTGCCATAGTTCTAGAGCCTGGGAAATCCAAAATCAAGGTGTCTTTGGGGACCCTCTTCCTGGTATAGACTACCATCTTACTATATTTTCATATATTGGAGGGAGAACTAATTCTCTGATTTTTTCTTACAATGGTACTAAAAACATCATAACCCCACCCTCATGACCATATCTAAACCTGATCACTTCCCAAAGTCCCTATCTTCAATACCATCATATTGAGGGTTAGTGCTTCAAAATATGAATTTGGAGATGGAGAGAGACACAGTTCAGTTTGTAGCTAACATAATGTCCCTGGGACACAGTAATGTTACAGAACAAGCTGAAATGTTGCCCTGTGTGTTGTCTCCAGCTCAGGACATCTAGGCTTTGAAGAAAAGCCAGTTGTAGGTTAAAATGCATAAATTTTCTTCTCATACGGTCCCAAGATAGTATCTTGCCTATTCCTGATGAAAAGAATTATCAAGTTAGATATTAAAGAGAGTTCCAAAAGAAAATCTAAAAAGAAAGCTAACAGTAAAATGTTGACTGCTTTTTAGAGCTGTTTTTTTCTACTATCAATTTTTTACCTTCAATGAAAATTTGACCTGGATTGAGAAACAGAGATCTAGTCTTGTGATTTCAGAGCAGAGAAATTTATTGTGTCCTCTGAGTTTAGCTAAAAAAAACAGTGCAAGCAAGTCTCTCTAGAACAGACCTATGTCTTTGACCTACTTTATTTTTATTTTTTTTAACAAATTTATTTTTTATTGGTGTTCAATTTGCCAACATACAGAATAACACCCAGTGCTCATCCTGTCAAGTGCCCCCCTCAGTGCCCGTCACCCATTCACCCCCACTCCCCCGCCCTCCTCCCCTTCCACCACCCCTAGTTCGTTTCCCAGAGTTAGGAGTCTTTATGTTCTGTCTCCCTTTCTGATATTTCCCACACATTTCTCCCTTCCCTTTTTTTTTATTTTTATTTTTTTTATTTATTTATGATAGTCACAGAGAGAGAGAGGCAGAGACACAGGCAGAGGGAGAAGCAGGCTCCATGCACCGGGAGCCCGACGTGGGATTCGATCCCGAGTCTCCAGGATCGCGCCCTGGGCCAAAGGCAGGCACCAAACCGCTGCGCCACCCAGGGATCCCTCTTCTCCCTTCCCTTATATTCCCTTTCACTATTTGACCTACTTTAGATTGGCAATTTAGATGCTTTTTCATGACATGGATGACCTCTTAGAACATATTTACTTTCCTTTGCAGCCTGTTTGCAAGTTTTCACGAGAGACTGCACTTCTAGCAGCATCTCCAAGGATGTAGGGATATCTCTGAGCACCTCCATGAAGTTACCCCCCTTCTCTTTGCATCTAAGTCTGATGAAAATGGGATTTTGCCCAACCAGCCACCTCCTCAGCAGATGAGGAAGAACTACCACTTGTTAGCCAGTACTGTTTATGCAGGGGTGGCCATGAACAGGCAGCTAATTTGGGAACTAGCCAAACAATTAGAAGCATACCTGAACAGGCTAACTGTCCTTGGGAAACCAATAGGCTAATGCTCAGCGTGAACTTGCAAATGTTCTCTGTAGAGAATCAATGCTTGCAATAATAAACTGGCTACAACAGTGGAAAGGGCATTTAGTTCCTTATGGCAATTTGATGAACTCTTAGTCCTCTGAATCCTGGGAGGTCTTGATCTGCAATTTGCTCACACTTGTAGGCCTTCTAGATGAACTGTTCTTTAGAGTATAGTGAAGACACCTGGTGCCAGAAGAAAGGCAAGGTCTGTATCCATCAAAAAGTTATAATTTCCATTATAATATATTATATATATTATAATATTATATATATTATAATCAAGAGTCATAATTTCCATTCCATTCCATTTAAACATGTGTTCTAGGGCTGTTCTCTTAACTCAGTCACAGTCTCTACTAGTTGTGATTCCCAGTTCCCGGTA